TTTTTGGAGATGTGAACCAACCAAATACGTTGTGCACACAGCCCCACGTACGGCGAAGCCCGACCCAACAGGCGGGTACAACCCACCTAACGTCACCTCAAAAAGAAACAACAGACCAACCAGAACACAGTTCATGACCCGCAACTCTTGCATGAGTGGTGGGTAATTCAACATGCCCAAGGTTATGGGCGGTCCTGGGCAGCATGGCTGCTAGGCTTCGAATGTATCGCATGTGTCCCGTGTGCTCTACCCACTGCTGAGTGGTTACTGGATGCTTACCAAGTCACTAAATGTGACGCAGATGCATATGCACAGCAGGAGCTGCAACTTCGAAAACATCACAAACGTCACAGTTTGGTATTTGCCCAGTCGCACACCAACAACTCGAGTGCTTACCGATTCATCAAAGGGAAAGAGCAGAAATTCCTCACCGATATTCCGGTCTGTCTTTCATCTCCCGCCAGTCTATGTCGAGCATCACATAACTTGCCTAAAATTCGCCTTCAACAGCCGTTTGATGTCCCGGTAGGATCCACTGTCCGTTTTGGGTCATGTTCTGCCACAGTCTATCAGACACAGATGCCTTACGTCACCATTACTAATCTTCAGGGTCCATTGCCAGGCAGTGCCGAGTTCGTCTACCATACACATGCATGCACATGTGAGGACATGTCACCGCACTTTCATCATTTTTGGTCACAGTTTTGGCTGCGTGATTCTTTCCAGTCCCAACTGCAGGACGACACCTGGCAGACTGTGCACGATGATATTACCCATGCAATACCCCAGCAGCCTCATATCGACATACGCATAGATGATCCCCAATGCCTTATAAGGAATCAATTCGGAGACTTAAGTCCAATCGTGCAGCAGGCATTGACGGGTGGCACTCGGAAGAGTTACAACGCCTTACCCCGGCAATGGTTGCCGATCTCTCGCTCCTCCTCTCTTAAGTGTGGCCGTATGGCCTCACGGACCACCTTATGCAGGCACGGACACTCCATTTTGCCAAGCGTGAAAAGCCAGAAAGTATTTCTGACGGTGGACCCATCACGATTTTGGGTTACCTTGCTAGACTCTGCTCCAAACTTGTGTCAGACCAAATCCTCCAGCATTGGTCCGCCTGTTGGCCGCCAGAGATAAGCGGAGGTTTACCAGGCCGCTCCGCGCGCGACTTATGCGTGATGCAACAGTTACAGATCGAGCAGGCTAAAACCCGCCATACCGCATGGGGTGGGTGGACGATGGACTTAGTCAAAGCCTTCAACCTCATACCAAGGCGGGTTGTGCGCCACATTTTCCTGAGACTAGGTATCCAAGCACATATTTGTGACTTCTGGTTCCTGTCATTAACTAAGCTTACGCGCGCCCTACAATGTGGCCGTACACTTGGCCCACAAAAAGTCCTGCGCCTGCCACAAAATCTGCACTCCAAGGCCCGCAAAGTCCTGCACCTGCCACCAACTCTGCACTTCCACATCCACAAAGTCCTGCACCTGCTACGAAATGTGCTTTGCAAGGTCCACAAAGTACTGCACCTGCCACGAAACACGAAAAACCCCAAAAAATCAAAAACATGAACAAAAAAAACAAAGTTATATAAGTCGCGGCCCAGTCGGTGGTAGGTATGTTAGCCCTAAGCTTTGTGTTCTATGCCAAGATCAAAACTCCCAAGGTTTATCCGTTCGCTTATGCAGATAATTGGTCGTTCATGTCCACGTCCGAGCGTTCCTGCTTTCGGTCCATGCAGATAATCTTGCCGACCTTAAAATGCAGATCGATTTTTCTAAATCGTGGTGTTGGGCCACAACCAAACCCTTTAAGACCTTCTGGACAGAGGCTGCAGCCCTCCTTTTGACACCGGGTTTCCATTTTAAATTTAAAAGCCATGTCCATGATCTAGGATGTACAATCTCCTACACTGACGCAGTGGTCCTGGGACCTTTACGGGACAAAAACGATAATGCAGTCGCTAAGTGTAATCGCCTCCGGAAACTCAGGCTTCCCGTTGATGAGCGTGCAGAAAAAATTCAGGTGGCCATATGGCCAGCGGTCTTTTACGGAGCCTTGGGAGTTGCCATCGGTAATAAGCACTTCGTTGCTTTGCGCCGCGCTGCAACCAGTGTTCTGGTAGGGGACCATAAGCACGCTGCTAGCCCTATAGCCATGCACTATTTGTCTGACCGGGTTCAAGACCCACTTCTGTACCTCATCACGGATATGCTTACCACACTTAGACGACTTTTTGTGTATCACCCCACCATGGCCCAGAAAATCCTTGACACAATCCGTTTTTTTTGACGGCAAGGTACGAGGACCAGCCTCGGCCATCGCATCATATTTAAGCCAATGTGGATGGGAACTCACATCCCAAGCCACCCTGCTTGGACCAGGTGGCTTAAGGGTTCACCTCCCATCATCCTCTAATAAGCAGATCAAACAACAGCTCCGAATCTCCTGGGACTGGTTTTGTCACCAGGAAGTCCTGCGCCGCAAAGGTGTTGCCGAAACCCCATTTGATTCTTTGACAACTGTCCGCATCCTCCAGAAGCTATCTGATCGCCAAATGCAAATCCTAGCCCTAGCCTGACCTCCGGGTGGCAATCAAATGGAGCCATTGCGCAGTGGTCCTCTACGCAGGAGCCTCTCTGCCCCTGGTGTAAACAATATGATACGCACACGCACCAGCTCTTGGACTGTCCGGAGTTCTCCGACCTTCGTGCGCAGTACCCTAATGTCATCCAATATATGGAATCTCACCGGCGACTCTGCCAGTTGTCGCAAGCAATCCGTGTCCTATTGACCCTGACCTCCGCCTGTTGAAAGTAATCGCCTCCGGCCACTGTCCGGGTCTGCAAACGATCAATCGATCCGAGCTCTTTGCAATGATCGTTGCTGTTGAACAGACTCTTACAGTCACTCTCACCCATAGCATCCTCTTTGTGACCGACTCCCAATTCGTAGTCAATGTTGTTGACCAAATTCTAGATGGTACTATCTCCAAATCCCCGCACAAAAAGGCACATTGGGATTTAATCTCGCGGCTGTCCGATGCGTGGCAACCTGCCCGGCTTCACCTTCTTAAAATTAAACCTCATCTACAGCTCCATGAAGCAACCAGTCGAGCCGACGCTTGGCACATTCGTGGAAACGCATATGCAGATGAGGCAGCCGGTAAATCCAGAACCCTGGATGACCAGGACTTTGACTCCCTATGTCAGCACGTTCGTAACCACCGTCAACAACAGCATAACCTCCTGAGCTCAGTGTACCAATACCTTGTTGCTCTCGCATGTAGTCGCATGGAAAAATTGGAGCAGTTACCCCCAGGTTCTGATGCCAATCCTGCGGGACCTGCACACCGCACATCTGCCACTGCTTTTAATCGCGCTATTGGTGCATGCCGTTCGTGGGTTGCCAAACCTCCGTTGTTTCCTATGCCACAAGAGCCTCATCAAGTTGTGTTCTGGTGTTGTCCGTGGGGTACCAACCTCGCACGTAGGGTGTGGGAATATTGTAACCTTTTGAAATGGCTTGATCCAGCTCAAGTCACTGACCCTCATGACCATGGTATATCTTGGACAGAACTAGCATGTTCCTTTATGCTGTGGTCAGGCCGACACCTCCCGGTTCGCATCAGCTACAAAGAGTCACTCATAACCGTACCCTATGATGACCTGAGGGTTCAATGCCTACCGGTTAAGAGCAGGTCTCTTGGATAATTTCCGCTGGATTATCAAACATATCCAAACATTCTCTCGAACGAAAATTTTGCAAACGTATAAAAAACAAGGATCTACTAGCCTCACTCGATTGGGGTTCTCGAAATACCATGAAGGGGGGTTCTCACGCAGGCCGACCTTGCCCAACGTGAACACTACATATGATTTCCTAGAACAAATGACAAATGCTTCTTAACATGCCACATGATCCCCCATTCCATAATGAAATCCTGGTCCCACAACTTCCAGTGGGAACCTCACAGGTTGTATGGCCCACCTGGGAAGAAATCCCTTGGGAAAAACAAGATAAATTCCTAATACAAGTTCGAAACGCTCTGGCCAGAAAGAAACCGTTTGACCATTTAAGCTTTCCGAGTAATTAGATTTTGCAATTTTTGCAATTCATTCGTAATTCGTACTCTTGTGCGTCCACCGACTGGACATGCTACACACGGAGCACCCTGCATTCATGATGCGCTAGCCACGTTTACACTCCTGGGAGACTTCCGTCTGCTCGCCGCGGTCGGTTTCACTTGGGGTTCTGTATAGGTTACCATTTCCCTATAGCTCATCCTTTTCACCATGATACTCCACCGGCACTCGTCTCAAAACGGGACAAGGGGTCGCGTGGGCGCGGACGTCCGCAAGTGAGCGCATTGAATTGGGGGAGGTTGTGAATCGGTCTACATCAACTACCCATCCAATCCCCAAATCGGACCCGAAACCTTCGCACGCTGCATGCTCCGGACCGGTCGTAGCGAGGACCGCGGACCGGAGGCGGAGCAGTCCCAGGAGGTCCGCGGACGACCGGTGCGCAGCGAGCGATGGTGAGAAGATCCGAGGTTGCAGTAGGTAGAGGACTACTGAGAGGTTGCTTGGTTTGTGATATGCTACTAAAAATAGACATTGGCATATGAATTTACAATTTCCATCCATTGATTCGGTCAAGATTTCGGTTGTTGTGGTGCTTCAATGTGGTGCTTTGACAACAGGTTTTATGTTGCCATGCTCCGGAAACACGGGCCTAGCCGGTAGGGCCTAGCACTGTTGAGAATAGATTACCAGTGAGGTCGGGGTTAAGTGAAACACCTCTCTTAGAGTGTAGTACTGAGTACCTACTACACCCGCAGTAATTATGTTGTGCCACACTGAAATCACTATGACTCATTTGGTGAACCTCACCAGTTCAAAAAATAAACGGCACTAGACAAACAAAGGCTTGGGTTTTCAGTGTTCAGCATCCTCAAAAGTTGCCAATTGTGCCGCTCGCAGAACTCGATGAGATTGGAACCAGCAGAAGATGCAACAGCACCAGCTCCACAAGCAGCAGCTCAGCCCGCGGCCGGGACCCCAGGCGGCCAGGCAGTGATGGTTCTGGAAAGCAACCAAGAGAGGTTGAAAGACCTGAGCTGGGACCTTATATAGGTACATATGGGATAGCCTAGGACGGGTTGCTCAACCTCTCTAGCAAGTTTTAGGATTGTACAGTTTCTGGCCCAAATCCGAAAGCAGTCAGACACCTGAGGATGTGGTTGAAGTTTGCGGGGGACAAATCAAAGAGGATTTACCAGATACGTTGGTGTTTGTTTTGCTCATTGAACCAACGAACAGTGGTTTACCTGACCTCATGTGTGCACGTATCAGGGGCGAACTGTTACAGCCTCACAGAATTGTTACAGACAGCATGATGGGTCGGTCCATATGCTATAACTATTTGACCATATACATGCATGCTTATACTCGGAGGTTGCAGGTTGGATGTTCTTGTTGCATTTGATGAGTTGTGTGCATCAACAACGGCAACAACCAAAGGTTTTTTCGGCACGGCCAGTGAAGTGAGGGGGCCCAAGGTCGGAACTCTTAAGGATCAAACTAGAAATCCAAAGTGAAAGGAAACCACCACGATATTTGCATTATTTTTGAGCAGGTGGCAGGTCTAATATAGGCTTTGTTTTCGTCGGACGATACAAATGGCTGGGTCCGGGTCCCTCTCAAAAGTCGAGCGGCATGTCCGACAGAGTCGATTGGCGCTGCACGCTGCTCAGCCTCGCCCTCTGAGCAGCTTGAGACTTTCCTCAACAGACTCACCCCTTCATCACACGCGCTGCAGGCAGATGCCACGCCCAGTCCCCGCGGAACGCCGTGCGGCGGAGGTTCTCCTCCGCGCGGAGAACAGGAGCTGAGTCCGATCCGGGTGCGGTGCCGGGATCGATCTAAGGGGCACAGCACACGAGTCGGACGCGTTGTGACTTTAGACCGATCGGAGGTGCTTGAAGAGACGAATATGCCCGTTTGGGCTCCTGGCCCACCTCCGTGAGGTTCGATGCTTGGGGTGGGTGCCAGGGGGGTCTAACAACCGAACCTCAGGATATGGGACAGGAGCCTTAGGGATGTTCTTTTTCGATGCTTCCGACCCCCGAAATCTCGCCGCGAAATCGCCATGTAGATGGGCCAATTTTCCTTCTTCTGGGCAGTCGTTGCCTGGAAGGGCTCCCTAATTTTGAATACACGCCCAAATAGAAAATTTGCATCAAAGTAGAAGGGGAAACTATTATCCAGGAGTCCAAGAACCCAGGTTCGTGTCAGTGATGTGCTTGGCATCATGCTTCGGCTTCGTGTGGAAGTTTCGAGATGGCGCGATCCAGCCACCGGTCCCCATATTTGCCGATCAGTTGGGGTGGTTTGCAGTGTCAATGGGGCAGCATACGGCATACATGGAGTGGTTGGGTACTTTGGTCGCACACCAAACAGGTTTCGCTACACAGGTTTCGCACATCTCATGAAAACCGACCCAGGGATTTGATTGACCCTTTCGGATTAAGGAACATCTACAGGTTTCGCCGCTGTTCACCTTCAAAAAACTAGGGGGTTCTTGCAGAGGTCTGGAGAACCCATTCTGACAACTTGGGGCACGGACTTGGTCTAGGAGCCGGTGGCGAAGAAGAATGCCGGACGTGGGAGGCGAGGTTCGTCGTGCGTCTGGACCTGTTGAGAGAGGGGCGAGAAACCGAGTTGCCTTTGTGCTGGCACCACAGCAAGCTTGTCATACAGTACATGTGATGCGATCCTGCAAAAAGAAAGTTTAAAGGAAGTGCAAGGAAACACTAGACTGCATGGCCAGGGTGGCATGGCCAGGAATCACTCCAGGCACGATGGAGTGGGGATGGTGTGGGGATAATGTGTGAACAAAAACAGTTACACTCTCTGAAACCATCATGGAAGTTTCACCCCCTTAGTAGAGGAAAACAGCTTTCCAAGGGCGAGGATGTCCAGTTCCATGTTAGTGGCTCGGAGGAAAACAACGATCCCGTCATGACTACACATTCAGGCCGCCCCCCTGTCCTTTGGAGACATGCGACTCTCGATCGATCTTTCTGCAAATCATGAAATCCATCCCAGACACGACCCGTTTGGGACTGCCGTGCAATGGCAGCAGCATGTAGCAGCTGTAGCAGTCAGACACTCCATCCAGCTGTCCACGACGAAAAAGGCGATTTTTTCATTTGAGTGATAGTATCCCAAAGGGCAGGGTAGAGGGCAGGGTAGACAGAGACTGCCCAATCTGTGTTTCATTTGATCTACCCTGCTCAAATCAGAGGGCAGGGTAGAGGTCCAAGAAGGTCCACAGATTGGAAACCACTGCGGCGCGTCATTAATTACTCAGACAGAGACACGACCCATGCGACTGCCGTATTTGCCAACCAGTTGGGGTGGCTGAAGTCGGGATCAATGGGGCTATATATTCCAGCCCCGTAGAGTGAGAAAAGGTGATGCAACAAACCGTACCAAACCAGACGAACCACCATTTTATCAAAGAGCGTGCACACGTACCAGCACCAATGGAAGGGGTCACCTGGCGGGTTTCGCCCCTACACTACTAAGGGACCTCCAGCCAGGACACCCCGAAAGAAGGTCCAGGTATATTACAACATGTTCACTGCATTGGGAGATATCGGCAGTTCCTTCTCTCCATCGGCAGTACCTTCACAGCATCCGGCAGTACCACGCCTCTTTTTCTAGGCGCCATCCCTGCCGGCAGCGAGAAAGAGTTGGCCGGGCCCTCGCCGGTGTGGGAGGTGGTTCCTGCGCGGTTTCGGAGGTTGGAAACGAGGTGGCCCCTTCCAAAAGCACCACCTCACCATGAGGGAGACCACATGTTCCATACCCAGACCACATATATATACCTACCCATCTGTATAATAACTAGGCCACCCCACAAAGACCCCGACTTCAACCACTTCAACTGATTGGTAAGTATAAAATATAGGCAGAACATAGGCTTAATATGTGGGTGTTCTGGGATATGATGCGTTGTCTTTCTAAAGTGGAAGGCTCTCCTGGGAGGGGCATTTTAGACCTGACAGGTTTTCGATCAAATCCGATCATATGCAACCTTGGAATCTTGATTGGAGATGAACCCCAATTCTCTCAGGATTTGGGAACAGACTTGAGGCTTTGGATCTCTGAGAGCAGGTCCTTGAGATTGTCGGATGGTACAACCCTTGAGAACTGATGAGTGGCAACCGCCGAGTACACAAAGGCTTGGCTGCACAAAGTATTCTGAATGTCAAGACAGCTGGGAACAAAGATGAACAAAGTATTGGCATGTTTTTTGTTGAAAGAGGATCTATATACTCTCAACACCATTTTGTCCTAGATTTGTTGACATGATAGGTTAAATCAGCAGTACAGCCCTCTTAGATGGACATGCATCGTTTCCGCGATCATCCGCTGCGCGGAGCGAAAGACAAATTAGAAAAAAGAACGCACTTTTTCCGGGTCAAGCTAATTCTGCGGGCGAGACCTGATCCTGGGATTACACATCACAGTGGCTCCAACCACATGTTCAGGTGCTTGGGGTCCAGTGCCAAGGAGGTCTATACTGTAACTGCCTTCGAGCCAGTGGGCCTTCCCGGTGGGCCTTGTGAGCCGATGGAGCAACCTCTTGGACGCGACACTTCCCATCCGATTCACCCTGAGGCTTTAAAGCTGCAGAGGAGGTTGGTGAAGGTGGAAGAAGAAGGTCTGGTGCGCTGGCTGCAGATCGTATATAATCTGTCGACCACGTGTCAGACCTGTCGAATGTTTGGAATGACCGTGTTTCAATTGACAAAGCGTCCAGAAATGGACGAAGATCGGTCGCCGCAGGTGACCCCGACGGATCTTTTATTCATACGGGACGGGGCTGTCGGGACGGGAACGCGAGCTTGAGAAGGGATGGATCCAGTGTTTCCAACTTATTCCAGCAAGCTATGATTGCAGTGTGGACCATGTGATTGATACATTTCGAGCATAGCTTGTGTAGCATGTTTGCTCCAGCTTGGGCTTCAAAACAGGGAGCCACCCCCAAAGATCCCCCCTGGTTTTGCTAAAGGGGCTAAAGGATGTTTCTGATGGTCTATTTTCCCTCAGAATAATTCCCCTTCTGGGACCATATAGTGGTTTTTCATGGTTTTTCTTCCAGAATCCATGGGAGCCTGCTGTCAGATCCCCCAGTCAGATCACCCCCAGTCGCTCGCTCCGCCCCTCTCACCTCTGCCGCTCGGCTGAGGTCCTCACGACGTGTCAACGACCCGTGTCGACGGCGGATGCACGTGCCTGGAGCGCAGCGGAGGCGCGGCCGGAGCGCCCATCGGTCTGGGGTGGGTGGAGCAAAGCACCGTTCAAGTGCCAAGAGATGGCTGACACATGAGCAAGCACTTTCTACTTTAGGCTTGACTGGCTTCACTCAAGTAGTCTACGGCATGCTCTAGTAGCCTTTTCTATCATCAGCATTCGCTGGTGAACGAGATAGGGCCTCTACATAAACGAGATACTTTTGCTTGATGAGACTAAATTAGTCTGAACGAGATAGTGTTATTTGCTACTAAAGTAGTCTGAACGAGATACCGTGATATGACCTCCTACTTAGGTCATCTAAGCGAGATAGGGCCCCCTCACATGAGATGGACAGTTTATGATAGTGTATTTGAGTTTAGTATCAGCATGTACCAAGTAAATGCCACCGCACACATGCTTATCATTGTAAGACCATCTTTCTCGTGTGATTTTATGGGGGTGGGTACTTTCATGTACTAGGAACAAGAACGCTACTATACAGGCTCCTGGCCTTACTACGAACGGAGCGATCGGACGCTACGAACGGGGCTCCTGGCATCGCTACTAGGGTACTTTCATGTACGTTCGAATCTGATCGTTTCTGGTGGCTGCTTTGAAACCGTTTCTTACAAGTGCGTTGGGCACGGTGAATCTGAAAGACGCCAGCCCAATGCCCTACTTTGTACCACCTATTGCCAATCCAATGTTGAATTTTGACGGTAGCATACCGCAGCATACATACCGTATAGATCCGTATAACTTCTTTGGCTGGACTTCCACCTTTCGTGTGAAATGTGCTTCTTTGACCTCCCACCCCCCCCGGCGAATTGGAGCATCATGGGTGTGTTGCAATGTGGGGTGGCCAAGACGTGCAGTAACGAATTGGGTTCTATGATCTGTCACTTTTGGAAGTGAGAAGGATCCATTATTCAAACAGGAACCATGGCTGGTCATGAAAACCTTTTGGTATGAAACCCATTGGTTAGAAACCCACGGGATTTCTTGGTTCTTTCTTATAAATTGGTTGGTGTTCATGTCGTTTTCATGTGAAAACACGTACCGAATCATCCTCCACCCGCCCCGCCCCTGCGCGGCCAGGCCAAGGCTGCGCGCCAGCCCAAGTGGGGCCTGTGGGGGAGCTCAGCCTGAGGAGGGTGCTGGACTTCCCCGGTCATCATCTCAGTGGAAATCATGAAGCGTCGATTTGCGACTGTGAGTGTCGAAACCAGAGTCTCCCTGAGCCTACTAGCGAAGGCCTCTAACCTACTGGCGACGGCCTCCAACCTAAAAGCCATGGCCTCCAACCTAAGAGCCTGGGCCTCCAACCTAAGAGCCTGGGCCTCCAACCTACTAGCGATGGCCTCCAACCTAAAAGCCATGGCCTCCAACCTAAGAGCCTGGGCCTCCAACCTACTAGCGATGGCCTCCAACCTAAGAGCCATGGCCTCCAGCCTACTAGCAATGGCCTCCAACCTACTATAGATGGCTTTCAACCTACTAGCGATGGCCTCCAAGCTTGTTACACTTCCTTGTCTCTTGTGTTGGCTTCCTTCCTTCAACCGCTGCACGGTTCTGCGCACATACCACACGCACGTACGCCCACGGCCCACGCACATGGAAGAGCAACCATTTGACCGGCCAGATGCACCGCACAGCTCCTGTATGCCTCAAAGCGGCATTCATGGTTCGACTTCGAGGAGACGTCGGACGGTTGATGCGCAGAGCTCCGGTGGGGAAGCCGGGTTTGATATGGGTGGATTTCAGATGATTTTAGAATGCGTTGGTATGTGATTGTTTGTATAATATTGATTATAAGTTCAGGGTCCGATTGCACGTGGTCTTTAAGAGGAACTGGCCACAAGTACATATATAGAATGTAGAATTCCATGGAAATCCACAAGTTTATTTCGTGTCGTTGGGATCATTTAAGCATGCCACTACGGACGTTTCTGAGGATTGAACAGAAATCATGGTTGGTGCCTTTTTGACCGTGCAATAGCCGTGCACGCCTCTGAATTCCAGGGTTGGGTCATGAGTTTTGACTCCAGTGTTTAATTTGTTGCTTTTGAGTGCCACAATGGCACTCCCCACAAAGCCGCATGTCTATTGAGTTCTCGTTTCTTTCATGAAATCCTGGGTGTTGTGGCATGACCCTTCTTAAAGAGGCCAGGTTGTATTTGACAAATCCCTTTCTAAACATGTCTAAACCATCTTCGTCTGAGTCCTGGCAGGGTGTTATCCTTACTCTTCAGAGCTATCCCAGACACTCCATGTTTGCCATATATGCCTACATTGACCCCCAAAACCACCCCAATGTAGGCATATATGGCAGTCCCATGGAGTGTCTGGGTATAGTATGGTTTCACATGGTTTAACATGGTTCATTGTCATGTGAACATTGAAACCATGGATGCAAGTTCTACCAGCTAGCGAGAAACATCTCATGCACCATTTGTTCATAGCTTTGTTCTACCCGCCTCCGGATTTCTCTGTCACCACCAATTGGAGACCCATCGGCACGGTGCAAATTTGATCACCCAGACACTCCGTTCACAGCCCGACTGGTCCCTCAAAATCTAGAAAATGACCCCTCCATATGAGGGTCCGACCCTTCTATATAAGAGTCGATGAGCGTTTTGGGGCAAAAACCATGAATTTCAGCTGGTTGGGTTGTCTCGTTGGGGTCTCCTGCCGAATCGGTGCATTTGGTACCCCGGCCACCCCATCCACGCGCGCCGTTGGACCGGGGTGCTGTCTATCGCTGATGTTTTTTGGGTTTGAAACATCTCAGATATCTCAGATCGGTGCAGAGGAGTTCTTCATTCCTAGGAGTTCTTCATTCCTAGGTTGGTTGTCTATTCTGGAGGTGAAGTGGGGAAGCATGCCAAGATCTACTGGAAGCATGCGGGAATGCACCCTGCAAAAGATGTGTCTAGGTGGTATGGACTCCCTGCGATGTCCAGCATCAAACAGCTGCAAATATGACATGGCTCATGGACAAGTATTCTGACAGAAGATGAGCTGAAGGAATTCCAGAGATTTCCAGAGAGGGAACATGCTCGAACTATGCGCGGGCTCTACAGCTACCACACGGATACTGAAGACAGCTTCGAGGACCAAGTCCTGCATGCGCCCAACAAGTAGGTATCCCTTTTCCGATTTCCTGGCAACAATAGATCACTGACAGCGCAGAAAGGCAACATCGCTGTGCTTGATCAAAGTGTCTTAGACAGTCTAACATAGATTTGTTTCAAGGATCGACCAGTTGCTACAAATCAACTCCTAGTCATCCACGTCCAATGTCTTGATTCTCTCATGACTCCTGGATCCACGTCCACTGAACATGAAGAAACAAACGCTGCTGAGTCCCTATATCTGCCATTTTGCACTCCCATGGCCGAACGTCCGCGGCCACCGTTGCTGCAATCGGGGAGCAACTTGGAGGAGATGGCGGTGCAGGAGTATATAGAAAGAAAACATACGGACTGGACTTGTTCAGGGACTACGCGAATTAAGAACCCTACACCTCCAAGTACCTCCTCAGAAGGTATGACTAGACCCTCCTGGCACTCCAGTCCCACCGAATCTCAGGTTCAGTACGACTGGAGGCCAAACGGAGAATGAAAGGGAGGTGTTTTTGTGTTCTTTCTGTTTGGTTTAGTTTGCATTCGGGAGCGTGACATCCATCACAGGTCCGGTACCACTGGCCAGTCTGCCGACATGGGTTTGTTACCGGATCCGGACCCTGAAAAGCGGGTTTGGTTCGGGTCCAGACCCCTGCGAAGGTGTCGAGTCCGACCCCTGCTATAGAGGGCCCAAGGATTCTTAGGGTAAGAAGTCATACCTAGATCTTCAGTCCGGCACTTTTACAGGGTCCGGCGCCGGACTTCCAACTCCGGCGTTTTTCTGGATTTGGTCCGGCACTTTTTCCAAGTCACTTTATGTGGATTCTCAAGGCTTTGCATTCTTTGTAGTCTGCATTTCTTTGAAGGTAAACCCACTACTGATGCAATGATTTTGTTTGCAATGTGTGCTCGTTTGCTTGTTCCGCTGTTTTCTCATTCCACCTGCTTCAGCATGGTTCACACTGGATCAATCAGATCCGTTTAGGTGATCTTCTAAATGACGTCAGATGAAGCCGGTACAGTGCGATGCACCTATTGAAAGATCCAAGTGGGCGTACCTAAGCTGAAAGAGCATAGGCAAGAATGTACTCCCACTGTTTCAGGATGTCGGGGCGCTGGGATATAGTTCTAGCTGCGCAGGTTTGCAGAGCCTGCCGGACAAGTTTTGGGCTGTGGAACATGTGTTGTTCAGAATCTCATGTTTTGCAGAGAGTTGTCAAAAACTGGCACGTCGCAACTCCGGCGTAATTTCCCGTAATTCCGGCGTAATTTCCCGTAACTCCGGCGTAATTTCCCGTAACTCCGACGTATTTTTTTGGACTGAGTTTTCTGCGGGCTTTGACTTTGAAAAGTTTTTCAAAGAAGAGTTTTGACAGGAACCATGAGTTTTGCTACTTTTTGGGGGGGCCGTCCTGAGGCAAGCTTTATAGAAACATTAAGAAGCATAAGAATCATGGAGAGCAACCCACTTTGGAAAAAAACACTTTAGAGACAAGGTTGCAGAGAAAGATGAGTTCATTGCCACATGCTCCTTGGTTTCTTCTTGGAAGTCTTTGCTTGGGCACAAGTTGCTTATATTTTGTGATGGTTCTTCTCTTAGGCCATTCGGAAGATGGGCGAGGGCAATGGGAACGGGAAGGTTCGAGTGTGCTCCACAAAAACGACTCGCGGCGCAAAGGCAATTTCCTTGTGTATGATCCAACCTTTTATCATCTCTGTTTTTCAGAATCTTGGATCCGGATGTTTATTCAGGTCTCCGGCGTTTTTTTTTTCGGAATCCGGCGGAAAATTTTGCCGGATTGAGGTCCGGCACTTTTTTCCGCCCAAAGGAGGATCAAGGTATGTACCCCCTCGGCGGAAGGAGGTACTACCCCTCGCCCCTGATCACGTGCTTCCCTGCAGTTTCTCACTTGGTGAGCCATCGCAGCCTAAACTTCAAGCGCTAACTGTTCCAGTCCGGATTGAACTGATGCATGGGATGCTGCAGTCGATCCTGAAGTCGGGAGATACTGGGAGATACTCGTGCGCAAGAAGTCAGGCACAACCAAACATGGGTGGAAGTGTTTGTTGTTGTTGTTGTTGTCGTTGTTGTTGTTTTGTCAGGGGTAGGCTGGTAGGCCCCATCGAAACTGAAGGCTTTTGGACGTTCGATCTCCCGTACTTCGCCCGCCGGGTGTTCGTCTTGTTCGCCCACTTCGCGCGCGGTATTTCCAGGCCACCCATCTGGTGGGTGACCAGGGACCCTGCAGGTGTAAATGTAATCAAGATTTATCAAGAACCCTCTAAAAAACCCTCCAAAGATGTAAATAAAAAGGTAGTACTCATACTATCTCATACTACCCTCTAGTGTAGAATCTTGATTGATGACACCCCCCATGAGGATGCGCTCAAACCTCTTCACATGGGATCACTTTCCGCGGGGTGCTTTTATGAATCAAGATGAGCAACACCTTCCAGGTGGACCATGGACCACTAACAGACGAACACATCACATTGGAAATGGGTTCAACCACCTGTTTGTAGAGGAACATGGTCTTCACAGGGACCGATGGATGAACGTCCGATGTGTTCGTCAGACCCTTCCATCCAAATTCTGAGGTTTGCATAGCCTGGAGCCCGGGACTGCCCCCCTGGTGCGGCAAACCTCGAGGGAGCCCACGCCAGTCGCTGGGCAAAGATTGAGTGCCGCTATGTGCCGCATGGAAACGGGAGGATTTGTTCGACACACGGTGTGTATGGAAGAATTACTTTAACCTGAAGTGAATAGGAATGACTTGTTTGACGAATTTATGGATATTAAATGATATTAATATTGACCTACCCGAAATAGTTTCAGGAATCTATACCTGCACCAGACTCTACAGGTCTCCTTGGGAGGGTTGTTTAATTTTGTTTAGGCCGCCTAGGCCCTAATGGGTCTCAAGGGCTGACCTGGTGAAGGGTGCTGGTAGGTATTTTCCACACTGTGTCGAGGGATTGTGGAGGTGTTCGTTTGGTATGGGGAATGCTCACCTACATTCGGATGGTGGAGGACTGGAAGACGGTTAGCCAAATCATTTATTACAGCCGTTGCTTTGAAATCATACAACATCCTGCAATGGTTCTCTGTGTTATATACAGAGAGAACCTTTCAAATACGGACTTCGCCACCAAGCATACCTGTTTGTTGGGGTTGCGTACAGTACTGACTTAGATTTCGTCGCTCAGATAACGTCTTTGGGTCGGGGTTCATCAATCCAGCAGCCTTTTCGCAATCGTTTGAGCGTGCGTAATTAGCCTACAATGAATGCAAATAGACAGGGTTGAGGCGCAGGGCAGTTTTGGAACTCCTTGCAGATCCAAGTTGGTCTTCCTCAGCTAGGAATCCACAAATTGTTTGCAGCCCCTCAACCCAAATCCACGATAGCGATTGAGCTTCTTTTTGGAAGTTGCCTCCATTTCGTTTAGTTTCAATCAGACTTTGTAACACCATATCAAGTGGGACAGGTGTGTGTATGTCGATATTTCTGCCAAGATGCAACATGTGAAACCATCTTGAGCGTCCGTGATACCGAGAAGCTGGAGGCTCAGAG